TAGCGGTTCTCACGCACGTGTACGAAGTAAATGAAATCGCACACGGAATCGCAAATTTTCGAACTTTGTACGCGCGCGTACTTGTTGTATTTAAATAATTAAATATTACAAATAAATCTAATATATATATATATAAGTTTTGCTACATAAACATTGACGTTACGACGTCCAAACAATATTTTTAGTAGCATTGAAAAAAATTATTTAAATTACATAATTTTATGCAGCTTTCATTTTAATACCAAATTGTGAAAAGAGCTGTGCAATCGGGTTTTGGCGTAAAGGTCACTTTGTGGGAGGACATCGTTTTTGCACAATGAAGATTGACTTGGTTTACTGAGTCTTTCACACACATTTTATAATACATCGAAATATCTGATGCAGTGATCGAGTGAGCTTATATATTCATATGTGCAGTCCGTCCTTCGAAAGTGGATACGCGACCGCTCTTCAACGAGAGAAGTTTGCATGGGAGTGTGTATTTCTACTAAACCACTCTCTCTCTCTCTCTCTCTTCTCTTCCTGCCTTCTCTCCCTTTCTGTCCCGCGTGTTACCTCGTCGTTCTCCTTAATTTGACATTCGCCTGCGCGCGCGCGAAAATAAACTCCGCGTTATATCCTGATAATGCTTTTAAGCGCCTATGAATATCGCAATTAAACGTTGATTGCCGAGGAGAGTCGCCAACTCCATGCTTCCATTGCAGCCTGCGATCCGATCGTTTTCTCTCTCCCTCTTCTCTTCTCTCCTCTCTCTCTCTCTCTCTCTCTCTCTCTCTCTCTCTCTCTTTCTTTCTTTCTTCTTTGCTATACGCAATGTCACGACCGACATGTTTTTTTGTCTCTATAAAAATTATTCTGTTAAGTGCAGTTGTGTGTTCATGTCATTGCTGGATTGGAAACAAGCAGTTTTCAAATTCAGTAGCGTGACATACTTGAACATTTACAATCACGCGCGCCTCATTGATATGAGTGTGCGATCATATCAGATTTTCTCTCTTTCTATCTCTCTTTCTCCTTTTTCCTCTGTAAACACAAGTATACATTAATTTACATTAAAATGCGTTTCGAAAATATATTTTCCATGAAACTCGGTCAGTCTTTGATTCGTCCGCAAGAGGACGAGAGTCTTAATCAGATTGGTATACAAATGTGTGACAGAGAGGAATATATATATATCGTACACCGCACAAAAGTTTTGCGAAACACATTTCATATATATTGGATATATTGTTTATTTTAAATTAGATTTTCACAAAGTTACTCAAAAGTTCTATATCGCGCCGATTCAATTAGTGTTAACCGATCAGAACGTGTGTGTTTTATTCTCCGCGCTCGCAGGAATTTTCGTTACACACAATGTTAAAATCAAATGACGCGTCTGAATTTTATCGGAATTCCGCTATCGCTATTCACGGAGTTAAATTTTCGCGGAAACGCTTTTTGACATACATATACACACAGCTGCATTATATTTATTTATTTTTTTCTTTTCAATAAAACATCCACTCGTACATCCAAAGAGAAATATTCTTTCTCTCGGTAGCGGAAAGATTTTATTATTGCTCATTCTTCAAGTTGACGCGCGCTTTATCCCCGCTGATGCGCAAAACAAAAGAGCGAGCAAAATGCAATTTAAGTACTTATATTGCGAATATTTTCTGTCGATATATATATATATATTTTTTTATCGAATACTTTTCACAGAGAATGCGAACATAATTGTGTTGCGTATCTTAAGCAAAAGTTTTTACGTTCACCGAGAAGTAACGTGCGAGATTCGGAATTTCACCGTTACACGGCCGGCAAGTTGTTGATATCTATTGTACAAATTATTTATGCGGTGATAAATGAGCTTTGTTTTCTTTATTTTCTCGAAATGGTTGTTGCAAAGATTTACTCCGTGTTAAAATCTCACGATTAAGCTCGCAATACGATCTCGTCAAACATTAATCGAACTTTTCTGATTGAAACTAAGATGTATTTAAAGAGCTTTCACCCACGATAGATTCGTACAATGCGGTTAGAGGCATGTCCTGTGCTTCAAGCCGCGTGCCAACCGTCATTTGAATGCAAAAGCTCGCCTCTCTGACGCGCACGAGAGCAGCTCAAACGAACGTATCCTATGTCCGGTATAAGCGCGATTTATGTTTCTTTTACCGTTACCCTCAAAGCCGTGTGGCTCTCCCACGGACTCTAATCTTCATTGGGTTAAATCCTGTTTGCGTGGGCGCGACATTCACAAAACCTTACCCCACCACATCGCTGTTGTAATGAAAGGAGAGAGAAAAGTGCGTCCTTTTGAAACCGGTCTTTTGGGAAATCGAGGAAAATGAATAAACTAAGAAAGAGTAACAACGGAGAAAGGGGTGTGGAAGGGCACAGGATGCAAGATTATTTTACCGCACGAGACGCGGTGATTGTTTGTTTTGGTATGTACCTAGAGACGGCAATCTCGATCTGTTTAATTTTTCTGCGCGACGCAGCGGAATCACAGTATAAAAAAAAATAAAAAAATAAAAAAATACTTGTAGCATTTAAAGAACACGTGTGTAGTTTGTTTGTAAACAAAAAGTATTTCCAAATATTTCTCGAAAGCTTTTCTTTCGTCCGCGAGAAATTGTTGTTGTTTGTTCGAAGAAAAATTAAAATAACGAGAGAACATGACGTATATAAAAAAACAGAAAAATAATATATACGAGTAAACAAAGCGAAAAGTAAAGTCGGTTTACTCTAATGGAAATTGTCGACATCTTTTAACTTCTTTTCCGCACCTCGGGTGTTTTTCACCACAACACCCTTCTTCGCTTCTCGCGTTCCTTCATCCTCGTTTTTTTTTTTTGTTTGATATTATCTAAAACGCACTTAGAGACTGTAGAGACGATATATAGTGTCTACGTAGATGCATGCACCGCGCGCGCGAGATTACGTAATTAGAAATACTTCGCAGACACTTTAACTCGAGTCGCAAATGGGAAGACGTCGCGCGCGTTTCGAAGAAGGGATGTAATTCGAACTTATCTATCTCCAAAATTGGCTCCAATTAATAAACGATCTACGCACCGTAATGAACGGAGTTAACTGAATTCCGCTCTCGTTTACAAAGTTTCAGCCCCGAAGCGAGATAATGCGACTAATCGGATAGATTCTTTTCCTCGGTAAAAATTTCTCGTTGCAATAATTCGAAAATTACGTTGCAATACGTGCAAGAACTTTTTTTGATCGAATGTGTTTAATAATAAGAATCTCGATATTGAGTTTAATCCGCTTTTCGCGCTATTGTACACACGCCCGCGCGCGTGTGCCCGCAACATATCCGGTGTTTGAAAACACTTCAAGCGTCGTGGGTTTAACTCGTGATATCTCACGAATAATTTAAAACAGATTTACGTTATTCATAACAATTACGAGGAAAATGCGCGTCCATTGAAACTCGACGTTGGTCGAACATCGCAATGTCGTCGACCGGGAGACTGATAGATATATAGCGAGTCGTGAAAGAAGGAGATTCAATTGTCGTTTGCAAATGAAGACTGATGCGAAGGAAAAACAGTAGGCAATGTAGGGACATCAAGAAAGAAAAAGAATATCATTGCTCGTCAAAAAAAACTGTAAATGGTTGGGTTTCGGAAGCGAAGCGAATTGTCAGATGTCGATCGATTATAGATTTTTGTTCCTGCGCGAAAACTCGAAAAAAAATTCGAGTTAGATGTCAGACAAAAACAAAAAAAGCATTTTTGAAAGATATAATTCTTTAAAAAGAGACGGAGAAAGAAGAAGAGAACGAGAAAAATACGCATAAAAATATCTTTTTTAAATTAATGAAACAAATACTGTTTAAAATGATCGATTTGCTTGTTTTTTTATTGTCAGCGACGCCGTACTCGCCATGACATAAATTTTGATAGACTGCTTCATATCGCGAAGGTAGATGCTAAAATTCCTAATTGTTCTGGTTATTCTCTCTCTTTCTCTCTCTCTCTCTCTCTCTCTTGCTGTATTCTTTCACCTGAGGAGAAAAGAGCACCGAGGCATATCTCTGATCTTGTCCGGGTCCTGCTGAGCGCTCATTATTTTTATCGTCGAGTTATCTTTTCACCCCCCCCCCCGACTGTTAAATTTCAGGACAGAGAAAACTGTCTGTTTTTGTCACGACCAATAGATGCGGTTCAATTTTTGTAGTTCTTTTTGCTTTTTTTTTTTTTTTTATGAATATTTTGCGCACTTGTTCGTTTTTCCGTTCTATAAAAAATTCCGATATCTTCCAATTAAGCATTTGCGATATCCGATAATCTGTTTATTATCCGGTTGATAATGAAAAAGTTGCGTTTTTTATTTACCATTAGATTTAAAGTCAGTTGGATATAAAGTTTCTTAAAATAATTTATTCTTTTTATGTAATATTTTTAAGCAATATTTATCATATTTACTTGTGGATTTATATATCTATAAATCTTTCTGATTATAATATATCGCATCCGGATTGCAGATATGATTGACAGAAAAGGAAGTCTAATGACGAGAAACTTTTTCCATTTAATTATGTTATACATCTCTCGTTTAAATTCTTTTCAACTGCTAATCGATGCAGGTATACATTTGCGCATTTATCAAGTTGGAGACTTGTCCAACAGTGTCCTTAGAGACGATAAGGAAAAATAATTTTACAGTCTATCGATCACTACTTGCGTTTTCTTGCAAGACATTTTATTAGCATGTTCGGAACTGCAGACCGCGGCACGTGCATTGAAAAAAAATGTAATTTGTGAAAGAAATTATAAAATGAAACTTGACAAAAAAAAAAGATTTTACAAACGATTCAAACTAGATTTACGTTAATTGAATAGCGTGCACGTTTGAGCGTTATATAGATAGATTATTATCATATATATTATCAGAAAATGTTTAAAATTGCAAACGCGATCGCGCGAGTTAGAAACGAGTGCTTCGAACAAACTGAAGAAATATAAAAATTTTGTTTTTTTTTTCTATAATGTTAACAGATAGTAGTGCCAAAAAGAGCAGCCTTGTTATTCGACCAGTTGATGGTGGCTCTGCAGAAAGTCGTTGATAATCAAGCGAAGAGTGCGGTTGGAAGAGGTGTGAGCAGATCGGCGGCGCCTGTTTTATCCGCCAGTCCGGAAATCGTTTCCGCAACGGAAGATCACGCGGTATCGATATTGAAAATAATTGAAAAAAGCGATCGTTTTATTGTCTCGTGGTCTCTGCATTTATCTTGTTTTTTTTTTTCTTCCAGATGGATTTGCAACGACGTGGACAATCCAAAGGACAAGTTTACTGGCGCTGTTACTTCAACGCTGTTACGTGCTTCAAAAGGAAGTGATAATGACCATCCACATAAATCCACCTCAACATCTCAAAAAAAAAAAAAAAAAAAAAAAGATCGGAAGAAAGTGCGCCGTTTCATTTTTCTCGATACCTAACAACTGCAGCAGCTGAGATTGTAGCAGTGCTTTCCCGGCTATGTCACGAAAACAAGTGAAAAAAAAAATTTAAGAGAACACACGCAAACAGAGTAGCGCAAATTCGTATATTATGTATGTTTTAATTTGTAACGTTTTTAGAATGTTCTTCAATAATTCAATGTGTTGATTCGCAATTCCTCTTCGATGCGTCAAAAGACGCGTCTTTGTTCTTCTTTTCAAAGTTTGCGTTTTCATGTATCACAAATCAGAAGCAAGAAACGCGTTTTCGGGGAAAAACAAAGATAATCTAACATTTACTTTTCTGACTATAAAATGAATACGGACAAAAAATCTATTCTTTAAATTAACTCACTTTAAATATATCAATCAATCAACCAAACCAAAAAGTAATCTGAGGTATAAATTTAAGACTTTTAGTTTTTATCTTTTTTTTTTTTTGAATGCGTTACACTTGTATGGTACGTTCCTACATTCTTTCTCTATGTATCTTGTTACTGTTTTTTTTTTTTGAAACTAAACGTAAAAATTCACTGTAAATACGTAATTTCTTATTTTCAATATAAACGATCAATATTGTGTTTTATTTCAAAATATATAGTTTTTAAATAGCGCAACAATTTTATTTAGTTTTTTATTCCGATAGAAAATAATTTTAATTTTTTTTTTGTGTTGTGAAAGCAAACATTTTCATAACGTTACTTTTTGATATTGTGTGTATCCAGAATAACGTTATTTTTAATATAAAAAAATAGCAGAATAAAACAAGATCGATTCTTGACGTAAAAATCCCCTAAGAATTGAAATATCGCAAAAATACTTCAGATAACATTGATATAGTAATCTTTCTTTTTTTTTTTTTTGAGATAAACCTTGTTGTACAATTGTATCTCTCTATAATATTACCGTTTAAATATACCATATTTTCTTGCTAGTTTATTAGCAAAGCGAGAAATTAGTTACTTAAGGAAATTTTATTCAAAACAATATTTCAAATAATACGCAAATAAAAAAATGCTTAAAGATTTTTTTATTTAAATTGTATATATATATATATACGCGCGCGCGTACAATATTCTCGTACCACACACAAGTTATAAAATAATATTGAAATAATTACACAAACAAACTGTGTAACGTACTTATTTAAGAAGATAGACAATCATTTTACTGATAACTTTCTTTTCCAATAACAAATAATTGTCTATGTCACAAATTCTGATGTAAAATTAAAAAAAAAAAAAAACAAAAAAAACAATATGTGCATATAATCGAAAAGTGTGCAAACAAATATTAATGAAGCATTCAAAGCGTTCTTTATTCTTCATATCTTCTTTAGATCATTTATTTGTTTAATTTCATCGCGTTAGACAACCTTTCAAGACACAGTATCAGTTCGCAATGGTTGGTGTGAGGGAACATGTCCACCGCAATGGCTTTTACCGGTATTAGGGGTTCACCGAGAAATTGCTTAGAGCTAGGTCGCGCCAAGTCAATTAGATTTTTCATGGCGGCACGGGGATTACACGATATATATATTACTCTGTTCAGCTTTTTGGCCTTACGCAACGTCAATAAAGCCTTTTGAGCTAGAACAAAGACAAATTCAACATTCAGGTAAGTAAACATTTCCGCAATATCGATACGATGAATTATTTTTGACACACGAGAACTTACGTAGACCGGCTCGCGGTGGATCGACAACGGCGATGATATTAGACTTTGTTGTTCTCTGAATAGCAGGCGCCAAAAGATCTTCCGCTTTACCGACGAAAAATTCGCAATTGGTAATACCATTTTTGACAGCGTTTTCTTTCGCGTCCTTTATAGCGTCGGGAATAATTTCTATTCCCAATACCTCACCGCAATACTGCGAAACAAAATAAATGTTGCGTCTATAGTGTGTGATGTAGTTCTTGAAAAGTTAAAAAAAAAAAAAAAAAAAAAAATAATTTTAAAGCGCGGACGGATGATTTATAAATATCGTCCGATCTGTATCATTATTGGAAAAAAAAAAAAAAAAAAAAAAAAAAAAAAAGTGTATTACCTTCGAGAAGCAAATACCTATGGTTCCAGTGCCACAACATACATCGAGCAACGACGTATCCGTTGTAGGTTCAGCTAAATCAATTGCCGCCTTGTACAAAATTTCCGCTGCTAATGGATTGACTTGAAAAAACGCTTGAGGAGAAACTCGAAACTTTATTCCAAGCAACGTCTCTTCTATGTATTCCGTACCGCTAATATGATACAAGGAATCACTGGTCTCGCTACCTGTACTTCTGCAAGTTCAGATTTCATTATTCTAATAGCGATATACTATATCGCTATTAAAGAGAAATGTATCATTTTATTACTTTCAGCTGTGAACAACATACTTTTTGTCTATTAGCTGAAAATATAATGAAGTGACATGAGCGTCAACGCCTTTTCCCGTTTCGAAAAATATTCGAAGCTGCGATTTTAACTTCTGTAATTCCTCATCGCTAAGATCTTGAGGATGTATCGCTACTATCAGCATCAAATGATTGGCGCGGGTAGTTCGAACGGTGACTTGTCTCCAGTATCCGCTGTGGTCGACCGGATTGAAGGGTTCTAAATTAGATTCGTGTATAAACGTTTCTAGTATCTGAAATGGAACACAAAAGAGTTTGAATTCTGAGTTTTTGTAGTCTGAAAAAAAATCAACATTTAAAAGTCACCTTTACAGCAGACTTCATACTTTCAGGAATGTGGCAGAGATCATCTATAGGTCCAACTGCTGTGGAACCTGAAGCATAACTTGCTAATCTAAAACCGATCATAACTTTGTTCTGATCACTATTTTTACCTAAAAACAATGTAAATATATTTAATATAAAAAATTGGATAAAATATATTTAAATAAATTGATAAAAACTAATCAATATATAATTACCAACTGTAAATTCGCATTTATTTCTATATGCTTCAATAGTATTTGTTGAAAGTATATTCTGCAATTTGCAAGGCAAACCGTTGTACATTTTTTTCTGTGAAATTATCCAGTCTGTCAGTGCTTTATTTTCTTTGAGCATTTGATCACCCATATTTATCAAAATAGTCTCCATTTGCTTCTGCTTGAGTTCCAACTAAAAATATGTAGCAAAAACTTATATATAATACTTCTAAATTTATCAGATCATCTTTGATATATATAGGAATATTGCGAGATTAACTCCAAGTGCCTTGGTGGCCTAACAGGGAAGGCGATGGCACAGTAAGCTGAAGATTCCAGATTTGAAACTCGGCCAGGAGTTTTTTTCACAATATTTTAAAAATTAGTTAGGGGGATATTCGAGGTCTTTCATATGTGAGATGCAAATCCCACATCCCGTATGAATTTAAGAATTGAATTTTCAATTCAAAAAACTCGTAAAAATTTACAAGTGAACTTGTATAGGTGTATACATATATATGTATACACGTACAAGTTCCGCTCACCATCCTGTGAACGGCTTGTATTGGTCTTATATATTCTTTAGTTATAACACTTCTATTATAACTTCTATTAAACCTGCACTAAAATCCCTTACCTGTTCTGAATATGGCATCTTCCACAGAGGAATAGTTTGAGATTTAATTCTGTCTGTGGGAGAATCATTTGAAGTTTCATCATGAGTCTTCAAATGTTTATTAACATTAGATTCCTCTTCTAGTTTTCTTTTTACAAAGGGATCTGGCGCTGGCTTAGCTACCTGTCCAAAAAAAAAAAAAAAAACAAAACAATATATTGTCACATAATTAAGCAAGTAATGTGTTTTCAGTAGAGAATCGCAAATTACCTGTGCTGTAAGTTTATTATTTTTCCATAAAATTCCATTTATAGTAGCAATTGCTTTTTGACGACACTCTTCACTCCTAAAACATACATATAACCATCCACTGCCTCTTCTAGGTGGTTTTACTTTGCACGACTGCAATTCTAGCTTTTCATTGAGAAGCTTTTTAAATTCGCCAATTCCATAATACTTAGGCAATCCACGCACTTCAATCTTATATTTTTCAGATGTGAAATCTCTATCCAGATATGCATAAGGATTTTTCTCATTTTCTTTTATATTAGTTGCCACTTCCGTAGCATTTGTATCAGTCATTTTGCATAAGATTTATAAACTCATAAAACATACACAATGTATCTCTTTCACAATTGTTATCTCACCATTGCCGTTATTGTCCATAAAATTTTTTCAGATAAATTTATACAAATTATCCGGAACTTTGTTTCACGCCTTTCTAAGATTCTGCAATCTTACAGTTTTCATTTTACATACCTAACCTTGTACACTTAAACACTGCACATCCCTACTATACAGAGATGCCAGATTCTGAACACTTGGTAGCATGCGGTAGCATGGAGGGGATGCGCACACAACCTCAGATCGTGTACAGTGCGGAGCACCATATCGTGCGCCGTGAGGAGAAGTAGTTCTCCTCCGGCTGCCTCCTACTAGCACGCGCCAGCGGCCCGAGATTTAATCCATATGTACCGGCACGGTTACCGATGACACATACCGACGCAGTTACCAAT